TCTTTGCTGATTCGCCATTTGCTCCGGCTATAGCCGACTTAAGCCTCGGATGTCCCGCGCGTGGAGAAACATCAGCTCCGTCAATAGCTGTACCATCTTCATCCATAAGGTCATCCTCCTCTGGCTCGAAATCGACTGCTTCTGATTCTATGTTCGCCATAACTTCCGCCGCCGTAAGCTTTCCGATAGATCTCTTCCCGTTCCGCCGACTGATTTAGTTTCCTTTGTTTTTGGGGACGGAGCTTTCTTCTATCAAGATATTTCTCTGCCACTGGTTTATAGGAATATATTGGGCCTTATATGGGCTTTGTTTGGCTTTTACGTTTTTATTTCGTTTCCTTTCTTGTCAATGTTATTTGGGCTTGTTTTGGGCTTTAACGTTTTTTTTGTAATCTGTCACGCTTCAGAGTTAAGCTAAGCCTTTGATTTGTTTTTTCTTACAAAAACAGGCTTTGATTAAAACTCCTCTTGTAATGTTACATTATCTCAATTTCATATGTCGAGATTGAATCATGGCATACCTTTTAAAGCATTCATAATGACATGATGTCAAATTAATTTTCTTTTGGCGATGATGTCAAATTATTGTAACACTTAATAATTAGGATACTATCAATCATATTGTGGTATTTAACACTTTACAGTAGATAGTGGTCCATCCAGTGCCAGTCCGAGCATTTGTGAGATCCTACACGAAATATAAAATGAGGCCTTGATATTTTATTAACAATATTTAACATATGATTTTTTTTATATATGTTAATTTTTATTATTGTTTTAAAAAAATATCCAAAAAAATGGGCCTCAATATCACTAATTTAACTAAGTAAAATTTCAAAATGGGCCTCACTATCCAAAAAATACTAAAAAAATAAAAAATAAAAAACCAAAAAAAAAAAAAATTGTGGGACCCCAAGCAGTGGCTTGGGTAGCCTGTCCTGCGCGCCGGGCCTGGGTCCATCTCTTTGATGGTGATCATCATTATATCATCCGTTTACATATAATCATTTTAGTCGAATATTTGCTTTCTAATTTCCCCTCTATCTCGAAATTGATTTTATTTTTCCCAACATATGTTAATTTGACCACATTTTAAGAATAGCAAACATATTTTTTTACAAAATACAGAGTTTGGAAATAATAAAAAAAATACAGAGATGCAAAGCATTTAAAGCAAAGAAATCTAGTTCGTCGCCAATAATTACTTACGTCATTTAGAGGAGCAGAGAAAGCATTAATTTGGCACACATTTATTGTCTGGTTCTGTTGACTAATCTATATATACATTTTTGAATGACTTTTAGCAAATAAATCCTGGAGTTGGATCTTATTTACGGATGAATGCCATTGGCATTAATTATTTAAATTTGAAAATATTACTTAAAGATATTACCAATACGATTTCGAGAATCATAAATTCATATCTTCCTTAATTTTCTGAGTCATTAATGTGATAATCTTTAGGAAATATTTCTCTGTAAAAAAAAAATCCACATTAATGAAGGCATTAAAATCGACACTGACAATTAAATTATTTAGATGTTCAATTATTTTAAGATTCTTATATCTTATTTGATATTTTTTTTTTAATATCTCATTCTTTAATTACTGCGTTTAGAATTTATTGGTTGTTACCTATTTTTTGGTGAAATTTATTGGTTGTTACTTAATAAGTAATTATGGTGCGTTTATTTTAGTTAATATCTAATTTAAAGGATTTGTTTTCTTTTATTATTAATAAATGAATAACATGTATAGAAATAAAAGATTTTTTTTGCGACTCCATAATAAATATATTAAACTCTTATTTTCTACATTTCTTACACATAATATCCTCTTATTCAATAACAAAAAATATATATTACATATTTTAAAAAATATTTATAATATTTAAATTATATAAAAAATTTGTAATATTAATATTATTTCGACTCTATACAAATTTATTATATATGTATATATATCTTATGTGAACCATTTAAAAGAAATTTTTAAATTGACTTGAATTATATAGCTTTTAAATAAAAGTATTTTTAAAAAGAAAAATAACTAAATAATGTTTAATTTCACGGGACGGGTAATATGATGGGACGGGTTTGGTTGATATTTATAAAAGATCGTATACTACGGGTGAAATCCTAAAATTAACAATCAAAATAATCTATCAAACAAATTACATTTTGATTTTTTAAGAAAATATAGCCCCGCGGTGTACCGCGGGTTAAAATCTAGTAATAGTACAAAACTCTGGTCAATTTACGAAAATTATTTAACAACACACGTGTCCTACTAAGGCAATCCCGACCGTGGATATTATATCTAAAATAGTTTTAACGGCTAGGATCAGGAAAGGAGTAACTGAAGCCCGTACACTCGTTACATTGGAAAATATATAGACTCGAGGAAAATTAATGTCATGCGTGAGTTTTGGTGTGACGGGGAAAAGAACAGCTGGCTGACAAAATTTTCTTTTATGAGAGATAGGTAAGAGCAAGTCCAACGGTGTTTCTTAGTGAAGTTCTTAAGAAATTCTTAGCTTAAAAAATCATTAAAATTAATGAAAACAAGATATTAGAGTTTCTTAGCTTAAGAATTGTTTCTGTTTTAGGATTTGTTAAGGACTCATGTTGTGATGCCTTGTGATTGGGTGAGGAAAAAATATAGAAGCCAAAAATAAATTTATCTCTTGTTTTTTTATTCTGCGACACTTATTTTTCTGTCTTGCAAAAATTTATCTTTTTTTTTTTTGTTTAAATGCTAAAGTCTTGTTTTGTGAATGGGGTTTTACTAAGACTCATATTCATATATGGCATAAATTTGGCACGAATTAAGCTAAAGACTAATCGTTATTCCGGTTTTTTATTTATTTTTTAATATGCTTTTCTGTTTTGTATGTTTAAAATTTAAGAAAATTGTAATAATTATTAAGTTTTATCAAATAAAAAAGTTTATAATTTTCATTTTAAAAATAATTTTTTTTTTAAGAAACGTATTTAAGGACTCTACCATTGGACAATGAAAATTTTAAGGATTCAACACAAACTCTTAATTTTGAAATTATCACAATTTATAATAAAAAAATGTTTAAGAGTCCTTTTAAAGACTTTACCATTGGACTTGCTCTAATTGTTGTAGATGAGCAATGAGCCCTACTAAAAATAGTAGACTTCTTCACACTTCACACCATTTCCCCCGTCAAGAGACCGCTTGTCCTGTGATTCCTAGAGGTTAGTGAACCAAACTAGACTCTTTGTTAGTAGACATTTTGGAAAGATTTATTTTCTTGGTTTTTGTAAATACATTGTATTTCTAAAATAATGACTGGTCAATATAGATTTGAGATGATGAAAATAATGAATGGTGATTAGCAGTGGCAGTGGGGAAGGTAGAATTTAATTTTACCGGGATCAAAATATATCATGCTTTACATGCTATGATGTATTGATGTTGTTGTTACTTTGAACTAGTGTTCTAAATGCCTTGTCGATTTCAAATGGTTACTTGATGAAAAATCTAAGAAGCGAACCAAAGATTTAGATACCGGAAACGGAAAAAGGGTATATTTCAACTGAACAAATTACAAAGTGTGTTATTATACGTCAACAAAGTTACATTATTTTTTTTCAACCTAAACACTAAAATTACTTAAATAAACTATCTAGACTATTAGATTTGAGTGTAAAACTACATTGACTTAAACAAAATTAATCAACTGTTTGTTTTCGCTCTCTTAGACGATACGATGATGACGATATATCATTTTATCATAACCAAATGACGTTGTTTTGTCCATTTGAGTCCCTAAACTCAACAAAACGACATCGTTTTGGTCATTTGAATCTATAAATTCAACAAAACGATGATGTTTGGTTAAGACAAAATAACACTAGTAAAAACAAAATGACACTTTGTTGTCACCGTGTTGAGTTTATGGACTCAAATGACCAAAACAACGTTATACTTTGTCATTATCGTGTAATTTAAGTGAGCGAAAACCAATAGTTGACTAATTTTGTTTAAATCAATGTAGTTTTACGCATAAATCCAATAGTTTGGATAGTTTATTTGAATTGTTTTAGGAATCAATTACAGGTTTGCCATTTTTTAAATGGTATTTGTGGATTTTGTCATTTTTTAATTATTTTGTGAATTTCGTCATTTTCGTGCTATAAAAATGTAATTTAACATGTGTTTTACCCGTTATATTTGAGTTTAGTCGGTTTCATTTGTTCTTATGGTTTAATATTAAGTATAAAGTACGGATTTTTTGGTAATAAAAAATCGTAAATACGTACGTTTTTAAGTATTAAAAATGGTAAATCCGTAAGATTTTAGTAAAAATGGCATTTTAAAAAGATTTTGATGAAAAATGGCAAAAATCAACAATAATCCCTTGTTTTAGAGTTGATGTTAAAAAAGACACTATAACTTTGATGAGGTATAGAAACACACTATACAATTTGTTTAAATTGAAATACATTATTTTTCCTAGCTAGCGGAAACATTATTATAAGGATCGAATCATAGAGGTATATTACGTATTTATTTTTCTGATAAACAAAAAATTTATATCGAACTAATTTGGTTCAGTGTATTTTCGACTAATTTATCCTAATAGTTTTTTTATTGGCAGATATAAATTGTTTTTGATAAGCTGAAGAAAAATCTCTAACCAATCAATCTAATAAACATGAAAAAAAATGAAAAAATTGAAAAGGTACTTTATCCAAGAAAAGGGGAATATAGTGTTGATACCTACTAAAATCTGTTAATACAATCTTTTTAAAATCTGTTAATGCCCCTAATTTACCAAAAACTCAGGCCAAAAAATGATTTCTTTCCACTCTAATCCCGCTCTTTACGAAACTTGAAAAACCTAATATCGATAACAGTTTCAAAGGACAATAAAACAAAAAAGTTCGATTTTTTTTTTAATTTTTTTAAAATTGATAAAATGCTTTTTACGGAGACAAAATCATACCAAAATTCTAAAAGAAACATACATTTATGATTTAACGCAAACCCAAAAAAGCCTAAGCCTTCGCCTTTTTCTCTTCGTCTTCTTCACCATCTTCTGGGGAAAAACAAAAAAACACAAAACTTTCCCGGCCATGGATCCCGGCGACCCAACTTCGATAATCTTTTCAAAGATCAGAACTTTAGAACCAGAGAACGCTTCCAAAGTCATTGGCTATTTTCTATTGCAAGACATGGAACAGAGAGATTTGATTCGAATTGCTTTTGGTCCTGACTCTCTCATTCAAACTTTCTGTCGTAAAGCTAAATCCGATTTAGGTCTTTCCTCCAACGGTTTCTCGTTAAACCCTAGTTCGAGACCCATCAATATCCATGGCCAGTCATTGTCTCAGTCTTCTCCCAGAAATGGGTTCTTAGAGTTATCGAGAAACCCTAGCAACCCTTTGTCTCCTTCGTTTACTTCGAACACACTCAGAGATAACCCTAACTTCAATTCTAGTCCCTTTCGTGAAAGTTCATCACTTTTTGCTTCTTCTTCCGGCGGCGATGAGCAGCAGCAACAACAATTCAGTAACAACTTTTTGTTCACAAAAGACGAGGATCCATTTGCCAATTTTCACAAGAGGAGTTTCTCGGCTAACGATGCTTGTCTTGAATCAGAGGAACCGGGGTTTGGAGGAGGGACCGGTTATCATCGGTTTCCACAAGGCGGTTTAGTTGATGATTTTGGTTCTTCTGCTGGCTTAGGTTCGCCGAGTGAGATGGATTACATGCTAGAGGAAATGATGAGGATGAAGTTAGCTCAGCAAAAGAGAATGGTTGCTGCTCAGTTCATGGCCGCTTGTAGCTCTCCAATGTTGCATAGGTAAGTTTGGGATTTTTGTTTGCTTTCTCTGTATATGTTCTGTTGATAAAGACTTAGACTTTACACAACAAGTGTAGTAGCATTTTTAGCTTGAGGCATTTTATTTTAGACTTTTGCATTGGTTTGTTTTCTTGGTTTTGTATCAAGTTTTGAGCTTTAGAGGTTTGGTTTTGCTTATGGGGATTGTTTCTTTGCAGACAAGGATCAGGACATTTTGGAGAAGAAGGTGGTTACTATTTTAGTCCAGGAAGGCATGAAAGAGAGGATTCAGTCTCTAAACAGATTTACTTGACATTTCCATCTGAAAGCTCCTTCACTGATGAAGACGTCTCAACTTATTTCAGGTAAATCATGTGTTGTGATAAAATCGGTTTATCTATGTAAGGAAGGCTCTGTTTAGTGTACATTTGGATTAGGGGGTAATGTTTCTTGTTTGTTTTGACACAGTCATGTTTTTTTTAATGTGTAGCACTTTTGGACCTGTGGAAGATGTGAGGATTCCATATCAGCAGCAACGGATGTTTGGGTTTGTCACTTTTGCCAAGGCTGAAACCGTGAGAACCATATTAGCTCGAGGAAATCCTCATTTCATCTGTGACTCACGTGTGCTCGTTAAACCATACAAGGAGAAAGGAAAAATCCTTCAAAAGTAATGCTTGATCCTTCTTTTTACTTTTTTCTCATGTTTTTTTCGTCTCTGGGGCGTTTTCTTATTATGGTTTGGAGAAACAATAGCAGGAGGCAGCAGCAGCAACTACACGAGCTGTTGGAGAGAGGGAACTATTCACCTTCTTCAAGTCCTTCTAGAATGGACTCAAGGGATCTATATGAATGTCGCTTAGGTTGGTTTCAATTTGTTAATGGGAAGACTTCGGAAAACCAAGTTGTTGTTTCTTTCTTACTGACATAGTAACTTCCTAACTCGTCATTCTCTTTTCGTTTCCAGGACCAAGGATGTTTTCAAACAAGACACAGGAGATGCTGCGAAGAAAAACCGAGCAAGCTGATTTACAACAAGCCATAGAAGTAGAACTCCAAAGAAGAAGGTTCTTGAATCTGCAATTGCCTGACATGGAGAATGAATCTATTCACCATCACCAGCGTAGTCCTTCTATTGGTTCTCCCTCTCATTTTCCGCCTCGATTCAATCATAGTCTTCTCTTTCAATCAGGAAACAACAACGAAGAAATCATGGAAGGTTGTTATTGTTGTTGTTGTGCTCTCCACGTTCAAACTTTCTTTTTCCTGGTGTTTATTCATTCTTTTCCTCTGTTGTTTTCATTTGGTCAGGAAATAGTGGAAGAGGTGAGAAAGATATGCAGCAAGTAGCAACCAGCAATGAAGAACGTGGCTACAGTAACGATTTCTACCAAGGGTAAATGAAGTGATAAGAATCAAGGCTTTTAAGTCTTCTTCTTACGGAAATAGGCTACTTTAGTTCTTACAGACAGTTTACTTATCATTTGTCTAGGCAAGAGACGAGTCTGGAGAATACTCTTCCTGATAGCTTGTTTGGTTCCCCAAAAAAATCCGGTGAAACCAACCAAACTGAGTCTGTTACCGAGCATAATAAGGAAGCATCATCGGATCAGTTAGCCTAGCCATGGGTATGTTCAAAATCCCTAGACATTTCACCTCTTAATAGTCATCAAGAACATTGACTCAAGATTTTTCAGGCTCACAATAGGCAGAGAGAAGCATGTGTATGAGTGAAAGGTAAGCAATTTCCACCATGTATCAACCTGACACTCCTTTTAAGCAATTTTCTAACTCTGCATTTCGTCTTTTTTGTTTGTTTGTTAATTGCAGAAAGGTGTAGAAGACTGATCAAAGAAGGAAGTAGAAGAGAAGAATTGTCTATATATAGAAAAAGCTAAGAGGTCTTAACATGGAACACAAAAGAGAAAGTTAACGAGAACAGTTTTAGGATTATATATCATCTACAATAATAGGATTTTACGACTAATCTCGACAACATATGAATACTCAGATCAACACAGTAACTGAAACTCACAAGTAGGTTTCTTTTTACCTTATCGGATCCAAGTCCTGGTTTTTGGACAAAGGTTGTATGAAATGCATGTGTTTCTTCTTAAAGCTCTCTTGAAAGGTTGATACTTAAAGTAAAGGTGCACATTTTTAATTGAAAAAGCCGAAATTTTGAAATAAACCGGATTGAACCATCCATATGCAATTCTCTTCGGTTTACTTTTGATCGGACCGGTTAAGCATGGTTAGATTAGTATCAATCTGGTTAAACCAGAATCTATTGTGTATTTAAGAGAACTGGAGAAGTTTAATTATTTTAGTTTCTTTCTAGTAATTCGTCTTCTTGATCATCTTCTGAGGAAAACAGAAAAAAACTTTCCGGCCACCATGGATCCCGGCGGTCCAACTGCGACTATCATTGAAAGGATCATAACTTTAGAACCAGAGAACGCTTTCAAAATCATTGGCTATTTTCTGTTGCAGGACATTGAAGACTGTGATTTGATTCAACTTGCTTTTGGCACTGACCAAGTCCTAAAAGATCTCTGTGAAAAAGCTAAATCCGTTTTGGGTATATTAAACCCTAATTTGAGGCCCTTCAATCCCCTTCACCAGTCATTGTCTCAGTCTTCCCCAAGAAATGAGTTCTTGGACTTCTCCAGAAACCCTAACCCTTTGTCTCCTTCGTTAACTTCGAATACATTCGGATATAACCCTGACTTTCGTCATGAAGGTTCGTCGCAACAACAACAACAACAATGGAGTAACCATTTTCCATTTGCCAATTTGCACCAGAGGAGTTTCTCGGCTAATGAACCCGGTTATCAGTTTCTACCAGGCGGTTTAGTTGATGGTTTTGGTTCTCCTGGTGGTTTAGGGTCGCCCAGTGAAAGGATATCTCCGAATCAGCAACAAAGAATGATTGCTGCTCATGGCTCACCAATGTCGAACATGTAAGATTTGGATTAATGTTTGCTTGATGCTTTCTCTTGATATGTTTGGTTACTGGTAACGAAAGATGGAGACTTTACAAAAGAAGTGTACTAGTATTGTAGCTTGAGGCCAGTTTGTTTAACTTGGTGTTGGTTTTTTCTGTTGTTTCTGTATCAAGAAGAAGTTTTGAGCTCTGGGGCTTGGTTTTGCTTATGGTGATTCTTCTTTTAGACAAGGATCAGGACAATTTGGAGTACAAGGACAATTTGGAGTACAAGGACAAAGAATGATTGCTCCTCAGTTCATGGGGGATTTTGGCTCTCCATTGTCGAACAGGTAAGATTGGGATTTTTGTTTGTTTTCTCTTGATATATGTTTGGTTACTAGTAGAGAAAGGCAGAGACTTTACGGATCAAATGTAGTAGCATCGTAGCTTGTGGCCAGTTTATTTAACTTGGTGTTTGTTTGTTCTGTTGTTTCTGTATCAAGAAGAAGTTTTTAGCTCTGGGGATTGGTTTTCTTTATGGTGATTCTTCTTTTAGACAAGGATCTGGACAATTTGGAGTAGAAGGTGGTTTTGGGTCGCCGAGTGAGCAAAAAAGAATGATCGCTCCTCTGTTCATGGGGGATTTTGGCTCTCCAATGTCGAACATGTAAGATTGGGATTTTTGGTTGCTTTCTCTTGATATATGTTTGGTTGCTAGTAGAGAAAGGCAGAGACGTTACGGAACAAATGTAGTAGCATTGTAGCTTGAGGCCAGTTTGTTTAACTTGGTGTTTGTTTGTTCTGTTGTTTCTGTATCAAGAAGAAGTTTTTAGCTCTGGGGCTTGGTTTTGTTTATGGTGATTCTTCTTTTAGACAAGGATCAGGACAATTTGGAGTACAAGGAAGGGAGGAAAGAAGATATTCAGTCTCTAATCAGCTTTACTTGACATTTCAACCTGAAAGCTCCTTCACTAATGTAGACGTCAAAACTTATTTCAGGTAAAACATTTATACATATGTGTTGTGACATCTCTGTTGTTATCTATGTGTGGAAGGCTCTGTTGTTTGTTTTAACAGTCATGGTTTTTTGAATGTGTAGCAATTTTGGACCTGTGGTAGACGTAAGTTTTCCATATCAGGAGCAACGGACGTTTGGATTTGTCACTTTCGCTAATGCTGAAACCGTGACAACCATATTGGCTGGAGTGCGCCTTCATATCATCGGTGGTTCACGTGTGACTGTTAAACCATGCAAGCAGAAAGAAACAATCCCTCAAAAGTATGCTTGATCCCTCTTTACGGAACAAATGTAGTAGCATTGTAGCTTGAGGCCAGTTTTTTTTTTTTTAACTTTGGTGTTGGATTTTTCTGTTGTTTCTGTATCAAGAAGAAGTTTTGAGCTCTGGGGCTTGGTTTTGCTTATGGTGATTCTTCTTTTAGACAAGGATCAGGACAATTTGGAGTACAAGGAAGGCAGGGAAAAAGATATCCAGCCTCTCATCAGCTTTACTTGACATTTCCACCTGAAAGCTCCTTCACTGATGAAGACGTCTCAACTTATTTCGGGTAAAACATTTTATATATATGTGTTATCTATGTGAGGAAGGCTCTGTTGTTTGTATTGACAGTCATGGTTTTTTTAATGTGTAGCAATTTTGGACCTGTGGTAGACGTAAGGATTCCAAATCAGGAGCGACGGATGTTTGGGTTTGTCACTTTCGCTAATGCTGAAACCGTGACAACCGTATTGGCTCAAGGAAACTCTCATCTTATCGGTGAATCAGCTGTGATCGTTAAACCATACCAGCAGAAAGAAACAATCCCTCAAGAGTAATGCTTGATCCCTCTTTTGACTTTTTCTTAGTTTTTTTTCCTTACGTCTCTTGGGGTTCGGTTTCTGATTAGAGTTTGGTGAAACAATAGCAGCGGGCAGCAGCAGCAACTGAACCAGCTGTTGGAGAGAGAGAACCTTTTACATCATCCACGTCTTTCGGGAATGGACCCAAGGGATCAAGATGAAAGTCGCTTTGGTTAGTTTCAATTTGTTAAAAGAGACTTCAGAAAACCGAGTGGTTGTTTCTTTCTTACTGACATAGTAACTCCCTCATTCTCTTTTCGTTACCAGGACCAATGATGTTTAGAAACCCGACACAGGAGATGCGGCAAAGGAGAAATGTGCAAGCTGATTTACAACAAGCCATAGAAGTAGAAGACCAAAGAAGAAGGTTATTGAATCTGAAATTGCCTGACATGGAGAATAAATCTATTCACCATCACCAGCGTAGTCCTTCTATCGCTTCTCCCGCTCATTTCCCATCTCAAGTCAGGGAAGGTTGTTGTTGTGCTCTCTACGTTCAAGCTTTCTTTTTCTTGGTGTTTATTCATTCTTTTTTCTTCTCTTGTTTTCCTTTGGTCAGGCGATAGTGGTATAGGTGAGAAAGATCTTGAGCAAGTAGCAACCAGCAACGAAGAACATCAAGGGTAAAATGAGTGATAACTGATAAGAATCACTATAGGCCACTTTAGTTCTAACAGACAGTTTATTTATCATTTGTCTAGGCAAGAGAGGAGTCTGGAGAATACTCTTCCTGATAGTTCGTTTGGTTCCTCAAATAAATCCGGCCAAACAAGCCGAGTCTAATACCGAGGAGATTAAGAAGTACTCTCATCAGATCCATCAGCCTAGTATGAGTATGTTCAAAAACTCCCTAAATCAGTTTTTATATCTCATAAAAGTCATCAACAACATTAACCCATAAATTTTCAGGCTCACTATAAGCAGAAAGAAACAAGTGTGTATATAAGTGAAAGGTGAGCAATTTCGACCATGAAAATAACCTAAAACTCCTTTTAGAAAATAGTTATTTTTTTGTATTCTAATTCCATTTTTGTTTTTTGTTTGTTACATCTTTGATTTGCAGAAAAGAAGTAGAAGAAGAAATTGTCTATACATAGAAAAAGCAAAGAGAACAGTTATAGGATTTTACTGCTAATCTCGACAACATATGAATACTTAGACCAATACAGTAGCTGAAACTCATAAGTAGGTTTCCTTGTGGTAAATCCTTTTTACCTTATCGGATCCAAGTCCTGGTTTTTTTTGGACTAAGGCTGTATAAAATGCATTTCTTTTTTCCTTGGTGCTCTCTTGTAGACAAAGGGTACGCAAAAAGTGTCTGAAAGGTTGAAACTTTGAGTAAATGTGCACTTATTAACCTAATTTGATGATCGTAAATTGATCTGCAATAAAGTTTTTACACTGAAGAAAGATACTGAACTAAAACAGAGCTGAATATAGTCCAACTGAACCAAGTTATATTACTAGTTTCTTTCTAGTTACCATATAAGGTAGTTGTTCCATTCCAGGCGACAGGCGCCACTATCTCTCTCTTCTGTATCTGCAACATAGTTTTGTGATTTGACATTTCAAATTTCAATTGTTAAGAAAAGAAATAAAGAACAAAACTTGTCCAATTTATCTTATATATCTCGAAAGAAAAACAAAAAGCTTTCCTTTTTGCTTTCATCTTCTTCTCCTAATGATGGATTCAAGTAAAGAGAGTAGCTTGATTGAAATCCGTTTTCTAAAACCCTATGTAACCTCCATTGATGGTGCTGTAGCTGAGCTTCCTCATCACCGTCTCTGTGTTTCTTCATCAGACCTAAAGGAGTCGTTTTCTAGGATTTCTTTCAATGGGTTTTGGTTTGCACGCCTCAATTTCAAATCATGGGCTAAAAAAATGGAAGCTTTGCACGAACCCACTTGGAGAAAAGCTGGGATTTTTGAGGCAATCAAGGCATCGATATACAAAATCCCTATAAATCAGTCTTTGATTGTAGCTCTTGTTGAGAAATGGTGTCCTGAAACCAAATCTTTCGTTTTCCCTTGGGGTGAAGCAACAATAACGCTTGAGGATGTAGTGGTTCTTCTAGGGTTTTCTGTTTTGGGTTCTCCTGTTTTTGCTCCTTTAGAAAGCTCAGAGATGAGAGATTCCGTAGAGAAACTGGAGAAAGCTAGATTTGAGAATAGAGGCAAGGATGGGCAATTGAGACAAAGATTATGGATTTCGAGCTTCTTGGGTAGAGGTGATCAAATGGAGCATGAAGCTTTTCTTGCATTGTGGCTTTCACAATTCGTTTTTCCGGATATGTCTCGTCGTTCTATTTCGAAGAAATTTCTCCCTATCGCTGTTCGTTTAGCTAGAGGCGAGAGGATTGCTCTTGCTCCTGCCGTTCTATCAAGACTATACAGAGATTTGGGTCAAATTCAAGCTTTTGCTAGAGAAAAATCCACTCAAAATGTTACTCTGAAATCACTGTTTAAGTTAGTCCAAGTTTGGACATGGGAGAGATTCAAGAGTACCAGTCCAAAAGCTAGAGTGATACCGAAAGAGGAACCTAGAATAGCTCGGTGGCACTCACAAACATCTGAGAATGTGAGATTGAATCTTGATGATTTTGATTGGCGTCCTTACACTAAACCTTTAAAGAATTGGAACCCTCCTCGGTTTTACCCTGAAGAAGCTATGTGGATCACTGTTGATGACAATCTTGATGATGAATTCGTTTCGTTTACTCGATGCATGAGAGTTTCTCAGCTTGTTGGGATTGGTATTGTGGAGGATTACTATCCGAATCGAGTGGCAATGCAGTTCGGGCTGGCTCAAGATCTTCCTGGTTTGGTTACTGATCATAGCACCTTCACAGAAAAAGAGGCATGGGATGATTACAATAAGTCTCTTGATGGTTTAAAGCTATACATACCTTCTCGTATCGCTACGACTTCTGTTACTGAAAGATATCAAGCTTGGTGGTTGAAATCTATTTCAAAGTTTCTGGATTTTTCAGAATCAACTGAAACTTTTAATGCAAGTAATACAGTTGATCATTATGATGATGCTGATGATGAACTACTGCCTTTGGGTCAAGTGCTTCGGAAGTATGGAGAGAGCTTTCTTAAGAAACTCGAAAGATGTAGGACGCGTAGGCTAGCGAAAAATCAGCTATTCGAGATAAATAAAGACAAGATTGGTGATGGTGCTGCATCCGCTTCTACAGAATTACCACTTAGTCAGTTGTTTAAAAAGGACTTGATGAAGAGAACAAGTGGGCAGTTGAGAAACAAGGGACGCAAGCGAGCTCGTGAGGATGATGAAAGGTCTATGGATAACAAAGATGATGAAGAAGATTATAACATTACAATTGCTCAAATGATCAAATCTATACGGAATGATGAAAGTGGAAGCAAAGCAAAGAAGAGTAGTATGGTTCAAAGACCATCTAATGAAAACAACTCTTCAGATCCTCTTGTTGATTCTAATGGAGGTATAATTGACATTGCCGTGTCACCGCCAAAGACAAGGCAAACATGTGATGGTAAGCTTCATGTAGATAGAAGCAAGAAAGAAGAGTGTTTAGTCCATGAAGATAGAGAAAAGCAGAGAAGCAATGAGAACAACTCTTCAGATCCTCTTGTTGATTCTAATGGAGGTATAATTGACATTGCCGTGTCATCTTCAAAGACAAGGCAAACATGTGGTGGTAAGCTTCATGTAGATAGAAGCAAGAAAGAAGAGTGTTTAGTCCATGAAGATAGAGAAAAGCAGAGAAGCAATGAGAGTTTGTGCAGTGAAGCTGAGAAAGAAGAAGATATTGATGAAAGATTGAAACAGAGAAAGCTTGCAATAGAAGAGATAGCATTGAAGCTGGAGACACGTGCTATGAAGGTTGAGAAGAGTTTAGCAATGATTAGACAATGGAAAACCAGAGGCAACCAGACCAATTATGGAGTTTCTGCTTAACTAATTGTGTCTGCCTTAACTATCTAATCTGAACTTTTGAAGAGGATCTCTCAAGGAAACAAAACACAACAATGTCACAACTAGTAATCTTTGTATGATGTGTAGAACTTATCAGACGCAACGCAAAGCTCATGATGTTGTGTAGAAATGTGTTGAATCGGTTCGATTTTGGATTATTAAATATTTGTTGGTTTGGTTTGGGTGGACCACTATTAATTTATGGTTTGGTTCGATTTAATTTATTTGGTTTTTATTGGTTTCTCTGACGGTGAAGCCGTGAAGCAGTATCTCGGTCTCGGAGATCAAGATCCGACAATCTTCTGTGCTTGAATTCTTCATCAAGCTCGTCTGAAAAACACCAAAACGTTTCAAATTTATTTGAAATTCGTGAAACCCTAAAAAGGGTTATGTCAAGGTAGAAGAGACAGAACAAAGATAGATATGGTAAGGAAGCACAAGTACGGGAAGGTAGTGTTGGTTTCTTGCGTCGCGCTTCTAGCTACCGGACTCATTGCCGACTTTCTCTGGGCTACTTCTCATCGATTCTCCTCCGCCGCAATCTCCGCCGGATTATCTCTACCTTCTTCCCTTACCACCGTAATCGTTCCCGACCAGGTGAAAACTCCGTTCTTTGTGTTCTGTTGTTGATATAATTAGATCTCAACATCTGAATTTAGCTTCAAAATATGATTTTTACTTCAATGTTATACCTAGTTTCAATATGCTTGAGTGTTGAAGTTGCTCTATTTTACTGGTTTTAGGAGAAAGATACAAAGAAGAAGAAGGAGAGTGTGAAGGAAAGAAAACTATCAAACACATTTCAAGATTTGCCTGCTCCTCAATTGAAATGGGAGAAGATGACAGCTTCACCTGTACCTCGTCTTGACGGAGCTGCAATTCAGATTCGGGATCTTCTTTATGTATTTGCTGGATATGGAACCATTGATCTTGTCCATTCTCATGTGGATATCTACAATTTCACTGATAACTCGTGGGGAGGAAGATTCGATATGCCTAAAGAGATGGCGCATTCTCATTTAGGGATGGTAACGGATGGGCGATATATTTATATCGTTACTGGTCAGTTTGGTCCACAATGCAGAGGTCCTACAGCTAAAACATTTGTGCTTGATACCGATACAAATACATGGAAGGACTTTGTTCCTTTACCAGTTCCTAGGTATTGTCAAACAAGTAGATACAAATTCGGAAACGCCAGTTGACTTGTTCATGTTTTGGATTATAGTATGCTCTGTGTTTCTCTTTCGATGATGGTCAATGTTGACAAGTTTATCATTCAGGTATGCACCGGCTACTCAGCTTTGGAGAGGAAGACTTCATGTGATGGGTGGAAGCAAGGAGAATCGATTTACACCAGGACTTGAACATTGGAGCATCGCAGTGAAAGATGGCAAACCTTTAGAAAATGAGTGGAGAAGTGAAATCCCGATCCCTCGCGGAGGACCTCACAGGTTTTTCTTTTACAATGACATTTTGACAAAGTATTGTTGATAAAACATTCGATGAAATTAAAATCTTAAAGCATCGTATTCTGTGTGCCATTGTAGGGCATGTGTAGTTGTTGATGACCGACTTTTTGTAATTGGTGGTCAAGAAGGTGATTTCATGGCTAAACCTGGATCTCCCATCTTCAAATGCTCACGTCGTATGGAGGTATTGGATTAATGCCTTAGAGAAGCAAATCAAGCTTTTGTTCTGTTAATTAAGTTCTATAACATGAGTTCTTAAACTTTGGTTCAGGTCGTATTCAGTGATGTCTACATGTTGGATGAGGAAATGAAATGGAAAGTTATGCCGCCAATGCCAAAACCGGATTCCCATATTGAATTTGCTTGGAAAGTCGTTAATAACTCCATTGTAATTGTTGGAGGCACAACAGAGAAGCATCCTGAAACCAAAAAGATGGTTCTCGTTGGTGAAATCTTCCAGTTCAACTTAAATACACTGGTAAAATCCTAAAGCCTTCTTGCTCAAACCTGTCCAAGATTCGTGTTTTGCTAATGATTTTGCCTTCTTCTACAGAAATGGTATGTGATTGGGAAATTACCATATCGTGTGAAAACAACGCTGGTTGGGTATTGGGATGGACATTTGTACTTCACCTCAGGGCAAAGAGACAAAGGTCCAGATGATCCCGCCCCAAGGAAAGTCATCGCAGAGATGTGGAGAACCAAATTGATACTCAACCCATGAGGCAAGCAAATTTGTTTTTGATAGAATGTCATTGTGTAGTGCTAAAATTCACAAAATTCTACATTCTGAGTCTAATTCAAACAAGTCCTTACATTACATATTTACATCCACTATCATGGAAATTTGTATATTGTATACTGAATCAGAATCTATAAGAAAGTTCCTAATTCAACACATATCTGTGTATTCCTCTGTAATCAGAGAATTGGTCATGATGGGTTCCATTTCTGGTTTCTCGATATGGTTTTACACAAAACTGCTAATTTACAAAAGAAGGAACCACCACTATTACATGCCTTTTCCAGTTCTTTGTTGATGGTCTAGGTCAGAGAAGCCAAGAACAAGCTCCACCATGAAAAGCTCTCCGTCAAACCTTAGACCAGACGATGCTGCAGGCTGAAGAAGACCATCAACCATTCCGCCAAACACATATACAAATCTCCCTGAACAATCAACACAGGCACGGTGAAAGGACCGACTTTTTGGTCCATATGAGATTCGATCAAGCTTTTTCCACACTGATGACCCATTTAAGCTAAGCCCTTGAGGTTTCAAACCTGAAGAAGGAATGGTTTTAACATCCAACACCCAGAAATCATCTTTCCTGTGCCTATAAGAATCTTCACCTCCATAAATCAAGATTCGACCTCCCAATACAAGAGTCGCCGAGTGACCAACCCGAGGCAACGATGCGTGTTCAGGAACATCCTGGAAATTGTAGAATATCTGTATCCATTTTTCTTCACACTGTTCTTGAATATCCAAGATCCAGACATCATCAAGCACATCATATCCTAATCCTCTGCCTCCAAATAGAACCACTTGGTTTTCTCTAATGCAGGTCAAAGTATGTCCTGAGCGCGGTGGCGGTGATTGTTGAGACTCCACCATGTGCCATGTCCCCGATGTGAAATCTTCAGAAAGTTCTAGAATCCATGTATCTCCAAGCCTGACTCCATTCAGCCCGATTCCTCCATGGACAACCATCTTCTTCTCTGCAATACAGCATGCAGAATGAGCACCACGAGGAGGAGGACAAGGCCGCTGCAAAGACCCAACATTGAGGAGTTTCCAAGCGAGTCCCTCGTGGCAAAAGACTTGACCGATCCATGTATCATTTAACCGCTCTCCACGGTCATTTATACCTCCAAATAAGAGTAGATACTCTCCTATAACAATGCAGGTGTGTCCGAATCTCCCACTCGGAGTCCCTGATTCAACTTTCTTCCATTTCAATATGCTTTGATTGCTCTTATCAACATATGATGTCCATGTATCATCAAGATGGCGTCCTGAAAATCAACAAAGCAATATACACAAAGATCTCAAAGTTGAATGAGGCAATTCCCTAGTAATCCAACTATAGCCAAAAAAAAAAAAATGGTCGTGTGCTTGACACACTCATCAAACAAATGAAAAGTAACCGAAAACTCGAGTCGATCACATCGAAAAATCAATCTGATTTCAACAAATTAAGAATAGAGAAGATAATTCAGCTTAAGCAAAAGCTAACCTCCTTGACAACCACCACCGAAGAGAACAAGATGATCATTAACAAAGTTGAGAGAATGAGAAGCTCTAGGGATCGGAAACGAAGAAGATTCCTCATCATCATCATCTGGGTCTGAGATCTTGTGACAGCAAACAGAATCCATCTTATAAACTCGCTGAAACATCAACATCCATGAAAACCCATCTCGTAAAGATGACAACTTCAAAGCATCCACAGAAGTTGGTCCCCATTCTCGTTCACACAGAGCTTCCCAGAGACTATCGGAGCAAGCTAGAGACTTGTATCTCTTACAGGTCATTGAGAAAGAGAGGATTGAATCTACGGGAAGAAGAAGCAAGATGGTTAAGAGATGGTCATCGGGTAAGTTGATTATAGGACTCGACTGAGAAGTAGACGGCGGAGATGAGTTTCTGGTTGATTCCGCCGCCATGAGAGGAAATCGGAGAAGGATTTGATTCTTGGTGAGAAGAAATTATTGGGAATGATGATTGTTGTCTCGTCACTGTCTCGTTCGTTACTATACGGTAAAAAATAAAAATCCTTCCTTTTTTGTTTTTTTCTTTGCGACTTCGGGTAAAAATTGCCCACACAAAATTTGAAACCTTTCTAAACTTCGGAAATGACCCGATATTTTTGTGAATCTCCTTTTTCGACCACTGTATTTCAATAATTTGCACTATTCTCACCTGTCACACGCCCCGATATTTATGAGAACTTTTGTTTCGAGCCTTATATTCTAATAAATTGCATCTTTCTCCTAGTGTTTCACAAATCACAAAACTTATCAAAATTTCGAAAACGCCCCCAATTTTTTTAGTATCTCGTTTTCTCCCAGTGTCACAAATTTCAAACTTGTTTAGAAACTTTGTAATCGCCGCAATATTTATGAGAGACTCTGTTTCTAGCCCTACATTTCAATAACTGCACTTCTTCTCCTGATGATATTTTTTTTCCATTATTTTATTGCATACTTCTTATCACAGTCTAGATTCCATTTAATCAACGAGAAAGCTTAATTGAGATTGCACGGTGCTATCTTCGACAGAGATTTGTGTCATTTCCACAAATCCATGAAAACTTTGGGTCATTTCTGCAAATTGTGCAACTTGCCCTTCTCTATCACTTTCCACAGTGCAGATTTGGCTTCTTCTAAAGTCTCAACACCATGACTTTCCTCAAAGGCTAGCCTTTGTATGTTAAACTGCACAAATCACAAATTGAATACACACAAAACGAACTCAGAGAAAGATTCTGTTGTATAGTCATTGTAGAAATCATGTTCTTAATTTGTTATATATGTTTATTACCTGAGCACCTTGACGAACTCTTATATCAATCCCTTTGCTATCTATAGAAATGATAGCAGCATCGTCGACCTCGGCTTCACTAGACAATAACTCTCTAAGTGGCTTTGAGAAGATGGCATTGAGTTCCTATCATAATTTAGAATGAAATTAAAACTCTACTTTAAATCAGTGAGCA